TCTTGAGATCATATCTAAGGGCCTGGCTTGGCGCCAGCACTGATAACCCCCTCCAGGGGTTGTATATTGTTCCTGGTTTATGGCCTCTGTAAAATGTGAGTATTTAGGTAACAGGTCTTGAAAGACCAGATTGTGGTGGAAAGGGGCAGTGACTTAATTATAGGTTATCAAGAATGTATATTAGGTTACTGCACAGATTCAGATTGTAGCCCCCCAAACATCAGGGTTACATTGGAATTAGCCTTTTAGCCTTCTCAAACCAATTTAGTTCTTGGTGAGGGCTGTCTTCCTGGTTTGCATATGCTCAACTTCTCATAGTAGTAGCCTCATATGGCATAGAGAGTGCAAGCTTGTCTCTCTTCTTATAAGGGCACAAATATCATCATGGGGGCTCTACCCTCATGATCTCATCTAAACATTATTACTTCTCAAAGACACTACTGCCATCACATTGCGGGTTAGGGCTTCATAATATGACTTTTGGTGGGACTGAAACATTAAGTCAATAACAGGTCTCATCTAAGGCTGCATTTAGCGAAGATTCACTTCCAAGCTTGCTCACATGGTTGTTCGCAGGATTAAGTTCCTCTGGGTTGTTGGACTGAAAACCCCAGTTCCTTTCTGCTCTTGGAAGGAAGCCTCCAGTGTTCCTTGCCACATGGGCCTTTCCAGAGGGTAGCTCATAGCAGCTGTCTTCCATAATAGGCAGCAAATGAGAGAGCAAGAAAGGGTGTGTAGGATGGGGAACATATTCTCTTTGTGATCTAACCTGGACATGATACCCATCACTTTTGCCATTCTCTGTTTATTAAAAGCAAATCATTAGGTCCAGCTCATACTCAGGGAAGGGGACTACATGACGGCTAGAATACCAGCAGATAAGGATCATTGGGGGCCATTATGAAGGCTGCTTACCACAACAAGGTCTTGTAGCTATACCCTTGCTTTGAACTTCCTTAAGGCCATATTTCCTTGATATCACCTTGGATTTGACCTTTCCCATTAGGTTTCTGTGACAGCAGGACCTCCCTTTTAGGTATGCAATCATGTTTCAGTCACCTATTGCTGTATAACAAAAACACCCTAGAGCTTAGTGTTTTTACACAACAGCACTCACTTTTTTTGCTAACAGTTTTACAATTTAGGCCAGACTCAGTGAAGACAGCTCATCCCGCCTTCATGTGGCGTCAGCTGAGCAGCTAAACTAGGGCTGGATTATCCACTTCCAAGATAACTCACTGACAAGCTGGCAATTGGTACCGGCTGTCCGCAGAGAGCTCAGCTGGGGCTGTAATTCTCTTCCACGTGGGCCTCTCCACATGGCTGCGTGGGCTTCCACAAATAATTGGAGGGAAGTGATTGAATCTCAGAACTATTTAGGAGGTAAAAAGATCAGGAGGATGTTGCACAACAATGTGAATATACTTCATCCTACTGTACACTTAAAAATGGTTAAGATCGTAATACTATGTTGTGTGTTTTTGCCATAATTAAAAGGTAATAAATAAATCAGGGGACGGTGGTGACAGCCTGGAGGTGGGTGAGAGTGTGGTGAGGGAGAAAGAAACAATGTCAAGGATGACAAAACCCAATAAAACACAGACTCTGGCCTCAAAAAACTTTTTTTGGTCCAGCAGAGGATGCAGAAGAATTCATCACAACACATGTGGTAGATACTGTAGCTTTCTGCTGTAGTGCTAACAAAGATACAAAGCCCACGCCTCAAAATAGACCTTTATACCTGCGATTCCCAGAGAGAAGCATTTAAGACATAATTACAGGTTTAGATTTCTCAAAGCATGCCTCAAAATGAACACTGCCAGAGAAGCAGAGATGAGTAATAAAAACTACAGGTGCATACAATCTTTCCTTACCAATCCAGCATGGAACCTGGTAGGCCAGAAGCAATGCGGTAGGGTGGTGGGCAGGACAGAAAGCAGATGTTTCTTGGTCATTAGCCCTATTTTTTCTAGGACATAAAGTCCCTTTGTTGTCTTATGACTTCGTGCGTCTGGAAACTATTGCTACTGCGGAGATCTCACTTTTGGAATTCTCTTTCTTTGAAGTAGTAAACAGGTAATAAAGATCATTTATATCCCGAAGGAATGTACATGCCCCTTCTCCCTACAACCCCATCACCTCCCACACAAACTCTTCCCCCACACTCACGAGGTTTTATAAATAGCCAAATTTACAGATTTTTATTGAGTTTTGTTGGCAACACGATTCTGTTGTTCTTTCGATAAGCCTAAAACCATCTTAATGGAAAGGACAAAATAGGAGCCCTCCTTTTACTGGCATAGTACTCCCAACCCACACACTTTTCTGAAAACACTCTGAATTTCACTCTCACCGTTGACTCAATATTCTAGGTCCCCCTGCTTTGTTGTGAACTGCCTGAAGCGTCAGCTGACTGGCTGAGTGGTGCGGTTTTATCTTTCCCTTTCTTGAAATCTCATCAGTTGTCCCCTTCTGCACAAGCTCTCTACCTGGGGTCTCCCCTCTGCAAAATAACAAATAAAGATCACTACCATGAATCTTCCCAGTGGCCTCACGGCAGCTCTCCATGCTCAGACGCTGCCACGAATTCAGACCCTCCTGCCCCGTCAGGGAAGAATCTAATGTCATTCAAGCCTGAAAATCAAAACTGATAAGACAACGTGTTCATTCATTAAAAAATAATTGAGAGCCTACTATGTGTTAGGCACTGCATAGGTATTGGGAACACAACAATGAGCAAGCCAAACAAGGATCCTCGCATGAAACTTACTTTTTTTTTTAATC